GAGTGAGCTCCGGGCATCGCTGAACGTGTATTTATCGAGGGGGCTTCGAGATTATTCACGGCCCGGGAAAATCCGGCGTGAGAAGACGGGGGTGTGTGCGCGGCGGAGCGCGCCGGGCTTGACACAGCGCTCGCCCCGTCCGAGAGCGGAGGGATTGTGAAACGGGGTCGGGGGGGGGCAGCCCGGGAGCGTGAAGTCATCCCGCTCCTGCACCGTAACTCCTTGAGGGCCGGGCTACCACCCCCACCCCCCAACCCCCCACGTCCTCACCTGCCGCCTTACCCGGGGCCGGGGTCGCGGCTGGAGCCTGCCCGCGCAGAAAGCCTCGGGAATCATTCCCACCTGCCTACCTACACGCATTCTTTACATATTTCCATATATTTTAATGTGTTCTAATGTTCTATAAATTACGTATTATGCATGTTTATATGTATTAGCTATTTTTTATTAGTTACTTACGTGGAACTCAATGCACATGTTTAGGTGCTGGGTACGTATAACTTGTCAGTTGTCTCTCCCTCCCTGTGAGCTACGTGTGAGCAGGATGCGATACATCACCTACGGGCAGGACGCGATACATCTCGTGTGGGTAGGATGAGATACATCATGTACGTACACTTCAAGTTGAAACGCGCGGGGAAGGGAGCGAAGCCGGCTCCTGTGGCTCTGACGGGAGGGCGGCTGCGGGAAATGCCACGCGGTTCCCCGTTATCTGCTGCCTTATCTCCTTCTGCCTACCTGGGAGGTGTGCCGGGAATTTTAACCTTCCACAGAGGGGCTCTTCACCCAGGGCGAGTGTGCCCATTTGGCTAAAGCACATAGAGCGTGGACGGAGTCAAACTGCGCGAGGCACGCTGACATTGAACTTTTGGAATGTCTTGAACTGGTCTTGGCCAAGCTGACTTTTTTTTGGTGTGTGAAATCTGTGCCGTTTTTCTCATGTAAGAAAGACCCGAGAAAGACCTGATTCTGCTTCAAGAGGTGTAAACAGGAGGGTGCAGAGCAGGGAGAACAGAACATGGGGCATAAGAGAGAGGATACAGAGAGACAATGCAGTGAATGAACTCGAGTGTCCTCATTTGGACTCTGCCTTTAAAAAAAACCCGATGCTGCTAGTTAGTTTTCTGAGAACAGCCTGGTTAGAGAGCCTCAGGGAAGAAGCAGGGTACTACTGTTTTTTTTTAGTGTCCCGTTCTGTCAGTAGCGGAAAGGCAGCTGCAGTGATTTTGCTGGGTGGAGAGTTACGAGTGCCAGAACGCCAGTGTGAGAGAGCGGTTTTCAACAGCAGCAACCCGTCTCTGCGCAGTCCCCTGCGCGGGGCGAAGGGGAGCCGTGGCTGTAACCTTCTGTCACTTCTGTTCGCTCTCCTGCACCGGGTCTGCGGCGTTGGCTGTAAGAGCAAAGCGTACCACTAACGGTATGTTTGAGTGGTATCGTAAGATCCGATTGCAAGGTACCAAAGGATTAGAACAACCAGACCAGATGAGCTCAGTGGTCCCGGCAAGCCGAGTATTTGCCTGCTGATTACCATCAGGGGCAGCTACAGCAGGGACGGGAGCTCCTGCCTCCCTCTTTTTCCATTCGTGGTAGTGCACGGACGTAGCGTGTCTCAGAGAGGGATTTCCTTCCACTGGCAGGCAGCTCGCAGGCTGCCCGCTGCAGACAGCCAGGCTTTCCCTTTACCTAACCCCAGTGAAAATACTGACTATTCCTAAAATTACCAAAGTTTGGCAGAAGACTACATTTCCTTGATAATATCTTTTCAGCAGGTTTTTTTCATAAATTACTCTTGTTCGTAGCTCTGTAATTTTTAATCTTCTAACCTTATTTTGTGAGTTGTCCTTTTCTCCTTGTGTCATGAAACTGTCTGTTCTGTAACAGTTTCCAAAGAACATTTTTGTGCTGATCACTGCTATACAGGGATCGGTCTTGCTGATCTGTGTAGTTACATCTGCAGAGTGAAATAAAAGCAAATTTCAGCTGTTGTTCCTAATCTAAAAGCTTCTAAGCCTTCAGTTGTTATTGTCTCCTTTTGCATTTTGTGGTTTTGTTTACTCTTTTTATATGATTGTCCGTGTGACTTTTCAGAAGTACAGAGTATGCTTACATGCTCCAGTGGAGGTTGCTCATCAATGCCTTACAAACTCGGTTTGATAATCTAGTACAAAGCGTAGCGTTCAAGGGAAGGAGGAACTCTAATGTACGCAATAGCATTAAAGTACTTCTGCTATTATTCTAGTTTCTTATGTAAAACCTCTTTTTTTTTTTTGATTGGGACTGCACATTAAAGAAATACTTTGCACTGATCTACCTATAATAATGGTTAAAGTTTGGGAGGGGCTTACAGGGGGTTAATTAATCTGGACTGTACTACACTGAGCTACGCTGATTCATCAGTAGCCATGTTGTTCAAAATGTAGTAAGCTCTGAACAAACAGCAGTTGCTCATGAGTTAGCTACAGGTCAGGAGATTTGTCTGTTGGTACTTCAAAATGTGTAAATAATATTATTGAGACTCTAAGGCATAATTTCTAGATACAGAGGAATTTCTTTCCTGCATAGCGTCTTTGTAATACTGCAGCTTACTGTTCTTGTATCCTTTTGTAGCTATTGTTCTTCATTTTGCTGGGCAGGTGAATTCTCTTTTTCTTGTCATTGATACAGTAGACCAGATGGCTGCATCCTGACATACAAAACCTTCCTAAGGTGAGATTTCAGCAATTCCCAGTGTTGATCCAACTTTTTTTTACTGTGGGCAATGGTCATTTCTGCATTTCTGTGGGAGCAGAGGGGCCAGTTCTGAATGTTGTAAAAAATCTCTCAGACTGTCCACACATGAAAATTTCTCCCAGTTACAGTCTAGGGTGAGTTTACAGCCAGGGAGCCAGTCCAGGATCATCCCACGTGTCAAACTCTCTCTTCTTGGATCGGTATCGCAACTCACAGACCCGTTCCAGAGCAGCTTCAGTTTCTTCTGGAGTTGCTCTGCCAGCGAGCAAGCCCACGCCGCTTTTGCTCCTGCTGACCTGGGAGATCTGCAGACAGGAGGCTGTTTTCAGGACAGATGGGTGACACCAGCATGGAAGTGCTACCACCACTGAAGTGCCGTCGCGGTCAAAGCTCATCACCCCTCTTCTGTCAGCCATCAGCCCCGCCATGGGCCAAGGTAAAACCCAGTGCTGCTGGCAGCATCAGGAGACCTTGCTTGCTGAGTGCTGTGAGTCAGCTAAATGGATATATATAAATGGCATTCCTATATGGAAAAAATATGATCTTTTAATACAGTGAGAGAATTACTACGACTGCAGTATTTTCCACTCTGATTTATCTGTGTGTTTGGTTTGACTGTTTTTTCTTCCTAAAAATCGCCACTATTCTACAGTAGTAATGCAAACCACTAATGTTTGTTTGGAGATTACGACTTTGGATTTTATTGTTGATAATAAGAGAAAGAATACCACTAAAAATGTGGTGGTGTTCTGTAAAAGTGTTAGTTTGTGTATGGAAGAAAATGCCAGTTGCTGGTAGACCATGCAAGCAGGATCACAACAATGACTAATCAAATAACTTCCAAATGTCTTGAATGAGGTGGAAAGCTGATGTCCTGTTCCCCTAACATATTTTCGGATGTATCCCTCAAATCTTGGAATGAGGGATCTTGAGTTCCTACAAATCTTGTAAAAAGTGGAGGCGAGTTCTTTGTAGTCCGTCAAGACATGAACACTTCACCCACGCTAGAGTTCATTTCTTTGAAGGATCTTTGTGTTGCACATTCACTGCCATTGCAGGGTCTGTAAATGCTTATGTGCCTCTCCTCTATGTTTTCTGGAGTTTTCATGGTCCAAAGTATTAGTAGTATCATCCTAAAGAGTCTCAGTCAAAAATCCCAAGCTTCAAAAACTGGATTTTTTTTTGCCCGTGCATTTTCAGATAAATGGTCACCACTAGCTCCGCTCAGAGCTTGAATGTGTGAATGTTAAACCAAGCTGCCCTGTGCCGTATTTGAAGTGAAGAGGTTGAACAGGTCATTAAGATCCAGTGTTTATGTTTCTTATAAGCAAACACTGCTTTGAGAAGCTACGTGTCACCAAAGAGCTCTGGTGCGCTTGACTGACGGCCCTTTGCTTTTGCAGATTTGCAAGCTCTTTGGTTCTCTGTTCATTGTTTGCAAGGGAACTGCAGAGTTGTTGGGGGATTTTTTAGGTGAAAAGCTCTGGGGATTGCTCATTTTTCTTCCCTAAAGGCAAACTTGCATCATTTTTAAACAAGACTAGGATGTGTAGTAATAGACTTACATTTTTTTTTTTCTTGAGTGTATCATATGCAAATACCATGAATTTCCATGCCTTAAGCTAAATCACAGGTTTAGAGGAAAAATTCTTAGTTAGCTTTAAATTATCTCCTGGTTTTCGGCTTTATCTGCTTAATCTTGAGAAGAGAGA